TTTGCAAAAACCTCTCTTCTTTCTTTGATCAAGAGGAGGCACTTTTACCCCAGGGGGTACTATCATTTGGCCATCTTTAACTAGCAAGTCGAATATTTCATCACATTTTGTGATGTCAAAACTATAAGTCTTTTTTGGGAACCTATCGTTGGTCCTGTCTGGACCAATGGGATTTTTCCCATTTGAGGGGACTAACTGTTTACAAGAGTATGGTGGCCCTTGTTTTAGTTCTGCTAAATCGACTTCTCCTTCTTCGACATTTAAAGTATCGTCGAAGGATTCTAGATCTTCGTCATCCATCTCAACGTACGCTATTCTTTCTCTTTTGTGAGTTTTCGTTGCCTTAGCTTTTTCAGCTTTGAGGCGTTCGACCTGTCGAACTCTATCGGCCAGTTGGGCCATGTCTCTTAGGTACTGGGTGTCTAGCTTCTTCCTAATGGAATAATCTAAACCGCCTGCGGCTATTTCGACCAACTCATGTTCTGGCACTTGTGTAAAACATCTCGCCTTGAGCAGCCTAAACCTATTCAGATATTCGTCTATAGGTTCAGTGAAACGTCTCTTCACACTGGCCAGTTCTTTCAGGCTTATCTTGGTTTGCCCCATGTAGAATTGTTCATGGAACAATCTTTCCAACTGGGTCCAATGATGGATCGAATTGGGGGGGAGAGTTGTAAACCAAGTAAAAGCGTTCTTGGTTAAAGAACTTGGGAAGTATTTGATCCTTAGGTTTTCGTTATTCGAAATGTCTCCTGCTTCGATCAAATATCTTGCCACATGCTCGACAGTAGATTCTGTCGTGTCCCCAGAGAACTTAGTAAATTTGGGGACTTTGCATCTAGGGGGTAAATCCGTTTGTAACACATATTCTGACAATGGAGATGTAAAGTTGGGCCTTCGAAAGCCCATGTTCATCCCATTCTGAGTCATGATCCTTTCGATCATGGTTGCCAGATTGTTTTCCAAACCCATGTTTTGGTATTGGATATGCTGAACCACTTCGTCAGCATTTTGGTTTCTGTTAACTAACCTTACCTCTGGGGCTATTACCCTAGGTTCTTCGACAGGTTGTTCGACAGGCTGTTGAGCCTGGTTAATGGTGGTTTCTTCCTCTACAAATATCCCCTGATTTCCCCTTATTTGCGCCCTTTGGGGCTGTCGAATAGGTGGGGGTACTCCAAAGAAGTCAGCCAAACGCGTCATTTGCGCTGTAACTTGCTGATTCGATTGAGTAGTATTTTGTATTAGAGGATTTAGCACTGTACTCAAAGTTTGTGCCAACATTTGCACCATATCATGGTTGCTTTCGTCCATTTGTTGCCTCAAGACTGCTGTCGAGGCATTTGTAAGGCCATGGGCTACTTGGGACGTTCCTCCTAAGAGTTGGGTCCTATTTCTATTCGCCATGCCTACTCCAGAGCCTTGGAGTGGCGAAGAGGCACTCACGAAAGGATCTGAAAAAGTGGACGCAGCATTCGTTAGGCTTGCCACTTCAGAAGTTGGCATGCCATAGAATGGAATAAATCCTGGGGGAACCACAGGCCTTGTGCCTATATTTCCCCTTGGTGGGGGAGTTCCCAAAGGTATTCTGGGGCCTGTTAACGAAGTTATTGGCCCCGTGGTTGTGACCGACACTGCTGGTGTCGAACCAACGTTTGTCGCTTCACTTACGGTCATACTAACCGTTGCTCCCACATTCGTTTGTGGGATTTCGTTATTGTTTGGCGGATTCGCCATCTCTTCCCTCCTTCTGGCAGTATTGTTATCGTTGGTGTATATTCTACCACTCCTCAATAACATACAACTCGAAAAGATGAGATTATTTTCAACAATCAACACACAGTCCCACTGGGCGTGCCAATTTGTTTACCTTGGGTTTTGGTAAACAACCGCTGATCCTCCAAATGGTTACTTATTTGGTTACTCGCAGGATCGATCAGATTGATCCTATGGACATAGGTTGATTTTGAAGTTTGATTAAGGTGGATAAGGCTTTAAATAAAAGGTTTCAAGTAAATTGCATAAAGGAAAGACTTGGTAAAATAAACAAGGCTTTAAAGTAAAGGTTCGACAGGAAATGTAAAGAGAAAAGCAAGTAAAATTCTGGGAAAGTAAATGACTTTAATTGATAAAATTGGTGTTTCACACATACATTTCTCAACAATTCTTTCTCACACGCTGGGTACTTGAATCTAAATGAGTGACTATGTATAGAATTGTGAAAACACGCGAGAAACTACATGTCTACTCCTATTTATACTAAAACATTCCAAGTAACCGTCGGGCAGTTACACTGCTTCGAGATCAATCCACTTGGCCCGTTCTCCATGCTCGACGCTCCAGATCCTTGCACGTTTGCACGTAGTAACTGCTGGAAACTGTTTTCCCTCCAAAGCTTTGAATTTCAAACTGCTCCACTCTGGACCATCGAACACTTTCGTCAAGAGACATCTTCGACGAAAAACTCCTTCGACGTCGAAGGCAATCAGCCTTCTTCCTTGGAAGAAATCTTCTAAGTATTCTGCCATCTTTCGACGGGCACTTCGACAGACTTAGCCAGTCGAAAGCATCTTTCAGCTTTTAATGGCTGACATCAATCAAAACAAAGGTGTCGAATTTAGGAGCCAACACATATTCAATCCCTCATTTTTAAGCAAGTCAAAAGCACCCATAATGTCTTAAGATTTTTGGTCTTGCTATGGATGTCATTTTTCTTATGCTCTCCCATAATTGTCTACTTTATCTTTGATGCATAGAACAAATATTTCATTTTTATTTGTTTTTTTAGTTGTTTGCAATAAGATTATGTTAATGAATTTGTTGGGATTCATATGTGAATGGTTAAGTCTCATATCGACTAGAAATGTAAGATATGTTAGATATATAAGAGAAATGACTTATACTTTCATATCATTAAAGTTTTAGATGGATATTTAGTGTCAAGGTCTCTTTGATTCTAAAAACTCATTAACATTTTCGATCCTCCATGGATTTTCTAACAAGTGGTATCATATCCATGGTTACACTAGACAGAGAGTGAAAGTAAAATCCTAGTATGAATCAAGGCTAATGAGTGATTAAGTCTCACATCCATTAAAAATGAAAGAAATTGTTAAATATACAAGAGAAAAGATTCATTCATATTGTCTTAGGGTCTGTTTGAAAGTTTGGAGGAAAAGGGAGAGGAAGACTTTGAAAAAAAAAGAAAGAATTGGAGGATTTTGGTCGAGAGGATTTGCTTTTATTCATAACACTAAAAAAACTCATAATTTGAAAGAACTCAATTTGTATTGAAGAAGAGTTTAAGAGAGTTTTGAAAGACTTATATAAATTTTCCAAATATATTTTTCAAAGATTTTTTTATGAATATATGATGTTAAGATCTCTTAAATTTTAAATATTTAATTCATGATTTTGGATCTCTCCTTCACTATTCTCTCTTCCCTTCTCTCTACTCTATCTCTTTTAATTCATTCTTTCTTGATTATATTTTCATTTTTTAACTAAGGGGAAAGTATTTAACTAAGGAAAAGTATTTAACTAAGAAAGATATAGAGTTAGGAGAGGGGAGGGGAGAATAACGAAGGAAGGGATCTAATCACTTAATCCATTGACACTTCAAGTGCTTCCTGGACTCCGCAACATAACTTCTAACTTTATTTATTTTTTTAACTGCAAAAATAAAAACGTTTTTATTGATAAACCGGTAAAGAAGCATAAGGTGTGCCATAAATCATACAACTGTAGTGCTACACAAGCAAACACATGCAAACTCAACCGATTAATGCAGTTTTAAAAAATGCAACAATTAAACCTTGACAGTTGAGAAAATAGATGATGTATTGACAATGTAAAATATATTTACAGAATATCTATATAATATTGTAAAATATTTTTACAGAATATCTATATAATTTTTTTTTTACACTGAAAAATACTCTACCATTAAACTCTTCACAATTTGGTAATAACATTTTATTATGGAGTCATTGCCACCCAAATAGTGTCTATCACCTTGAAAGGGACCTCTTTTACTCATCAATTGTTCTTCACATAATTTGTGTTGGATCAAATCATCTGTGGTGTCATACTCCAATATAGCCATTTTTTTTACCATGTAACAGCTATCTAAACCCTATTCTCCGGTACCACCTATCAAATCATCGTTCCCTTATTTAAAGGGAAACATTTATATACAATTCCTTAATTGTAAGTTTTACAATTTTCTAATGAAAATTAGACACGTGTATAATTTTCTCCTATATATATTCTCTCTAGTCATAATTATTAGCTAAAATAAATATTTTGATTTAAAAAGTTAGTTATGTGTAATTAATTTTTTTATTTCATGTCCAATAAAAATTATTATAATATCATTAGTTATATTTGAAGAATTAACTATCAATATTAAATGTTTTTGACTTAAATTAAAAGATATAATAGTAATACAAACATTAATTAGTCTAAAAGTTAATGACTAAAATTTAAGATCATTTTATTCACTCCCTAAACGATATTTAAGTACATTTATCATTTTTTTTTGGAAAAATAGTAAAAACCTCCGTGCTCAATTCAAACAACTTGGAGTTGTTGTTCCTTAACACCCACCACACATGTTGAGCTTCATCTAAAACATGCTCGCATAAATTAACCCATACATACTGCAATAAGGAGAAAAGCAAGCACAAGAAGTAGCATAAACTCAGAATATGATTTTTTTTTTGGTTGCAATATCATTTAAAACTATCACTGTGAATGTTGATTTGACACTAAAACTAGTAGTAGCAAACACCATATATGTAAGAGCATTATAAGAACATTCTATCACTCAACATATGTCCTATGTACCATCTGTATCTATTTATGCAACCAATCTTTACCTACAACAAACTCATCCAATCAATTTCTTGAGAACTTAAAAACTCATACTTAACAACAAAAACTAAACAGCAGTAGCAGTAAGTAAGTAAACAATTCGTCGGTCATCTTTGATGGATGAATTAGATACCAAGTCTCTTGAGAAACCGTCGGGTCCTGTGCCGCATACGAGAGAAAACAACAACTACACAAGCCACTATCAAAGGAGGGAAATTCACACCTGAAACATTCAATTTCTGAACCCATTCTGGAGTACTATTAACAGCAATATCACCCGTAACCAACATTATCATAATAGTTATCAGTGCCACCCCAATCAAGATCCTGCTCAAAGGTTTCAGAAACGACTCCTAAACAAAATCAAAATCATATTCACCACATCAACATTTAATTAGGGAAATTAGTAATAATTAGCTGAAGAAAACAATTGAAATTCAGGAAATTACCTTGGGTTCGCTGTCGATGTAGAGAACGGCACCGTTTCGGTAAGGCAATGCGGAATTTCCGGTTTTAGGGTCGAAGCGGATGGGGGCGGCGCGGCCAGATCGAGGGTTGAAGGCGAATATGGATTTGAGGGAGTGTTTCTGGAGGATCTGACGGATATTCAAACGGTTTTGTTCCAATCCGCCAAGCTCCGATTGGAACACTGCAATGGGTCCTTCACCTTGCCGGAAGAGGTGAATCTCCACCTTCTTCACCTCGTCTGATTGCTCATTTTCGCTTTTTGCCACCAACGCTTCCTTTTCTTCCTCCATGCTTAGCTCTTTCTAGTGTTTTTTTTAACCTAAATGATGATGCTATTCAAAATTGAGAAACCAATATTTTGGGATGCAATCATGTATTGTGGAAATTTGTAGGTAAGCAACTAAAAGCATTTGGCTTTTGTTAGTTTGAAAATTCATTTTGATCTAATTAATTATGTCAAATTGATTGTAAATTAAAAGAGTTGGTAGATAATAAAATAATTTATATTCAAAAATATTTAAGTAAAAGTGAATTAATCATTAATTTTAATAAAAATTACGTGGAATTTTAGAAATTATATTTTTTAACATAATCAATTTTTAGAGCAAAATAAATTCAAGTATAAAGAAATTAAACATGTCAAAATTATTATACATGTTATGAATAATAATAAATAGATCTGAATGTTTATTTATCTAATTTTTTATATTTTTTAACTTTTATGAGTTAATTTTATTTTGTTAATAGTTATTTATTGTTCATGTATTATAAATATAGTTCATGTGATAATGTTTAGTGAATTTGAAGAGAATAATATAATTTTTTTTCTTTTCTTTATCTCATTTATCTCTATATTATTTTGGTTAATTTTATAATATGTTATGAACACAAAATTTTACTGTGTAAGTGATGATAGTGTCAGGTTCTACGTTCTTTTTTACTCTCAATATATTTGAATCGATATAATATAATTCATGATCTTGTTATTATTTTTTTTCTTCATATAAATATATTTACTTTTTTATATATATTTTGTAGATAAATTTATTTACCATATACAATCATATTATATTTCTTTAATCATTCTTGTTAAATTCCGGAATAATTTAACATTAATGCATTTTTATATGATTGCCTAAAATTGAGTTTTAACATACGAAAGTGTTAATCTATTCTTGATTAATTTCAAAATAATTTAATATTCAAGCATCCTTGAAAGATTGCACGAAAAATAATTTTTCTTGATTGTTGTTTATGAAAATAATTTGTGATGTGATTTTTGTAGAACTAAAATTTAATATTATAAAATTTATGGTTAAATATACAATATCCCTCCAATATAGGTGAATTTTGATTTATCTCCGTGTAAAAGAAAAATTAGATCACCCCTTTAAAATATTGAAATTCTATGTCTTTTATCCCTTTAAGTACAAAAATTATCTCTTATAAAAAAATTTGGTTTACCTTCCATATTTAGTGTTTAATTTGTATGCTTAGGGGATAAACCAAAAAATAATAATCACAGTGGATAATTAAAAAAAAAATTATAGAGGGGTAAATCAAAATTTGTCTATATTAGACAAAGTAAAGTGCTATTAACCCTAAAATTTAATATTAAAATATCTCCAAAGGATTGTTCAAGACGGAATTTTAATTGATTATTGTGTTTATCAATAATTGATGAATTCGAGAAGAATTCAACATTAAAGTATCCTTAAAATGTTGCATCTATAATGTTATTGAATCTTAGAAGGATTACATCCTTAATATTAATGAATTCTAAAAAGATTGCATCTATAATATTAATGAATTCTAAAATAATTGCATCTACAATATTAATGAATCTCATAAATATTGCATCAATTATATTAAAAATTAGCGAAATAATTGCATCAATAATATTACTGAATTCTGGAAGAATGGAATAAATAATAGTGAAGTATCAAGAAGGATTTTACAAAGAAAATAAATTCTTCATTTATTTATTTATTTATTATTTGTAAAAATAATATTTAGAAAATAAATTCTTAGATTGCAAAACCACCACTACCACCACTATCTCATGTAGTGATCATTAACTTATTTTTCATTCTATACTCATTTTGTATAGATTTGCAAAACCGCCACTACCACCACTATTTCATGTACCGGTCTTTAACTTCTTTTTCATTCAAACTCATTGTGAATTTTGTGTTTTTTGTATTTTTTTTATTGTGTTTCATAATAATTTAGAAGTTTGTTTTCCTTCAACATTCTCTATTTTATTTTACTCTTTTCACAATTTTATTCATATTATACTAAATTATACTAATATAATATTTTCAATCCTTTTATATATTTTTTCCAGGAATTAACATCTAAGTGAATCGAAGAATTTTTTTATATGTTTTACTTTTCAGTAATTAACATCAAGTGAATAGGTAGAAATACATAATTAAGGTATTCTTAAATCATGTTGTCTCATCTCCTTCTTTCTTCTCTTTATTATTTTTATTCTTTTCACAATTTTTATAATTTAAGATCTTACTAAATTATACTTATATAATATTTTCTATCATTTTATATACTTTGTATTTTTCAAGGATTAATATTGGATGGATGGATGAACACATAATTAAGGTATTTTTCAATCATGTTGTCTCGTTATTGTTAATATTTTGCAATTTTTCTTTGTTTTTTGATTTTTTTTTTCTTTTTTTCTTAATTTTTTGGTTATTGGATAATTAGGTTATGTTTTTTTAGGTATAAATTTGTTGTAAAAGAAAAATTGGTGAAAGAAAGAGAATTGAAATGATTGTGTGAGTCACACTACATATGAATGGTGTGATTATATTGTGTACTTTCTTAACTTTTAAATTTTTATTTTTTTATATTCTCAATTATATTATCGTTTTAATTTTAAAAAAATAATATTTTTATTATATTTTTATTTGACTTTAAGGTATACAAATTTAGTTATCATGATCAAGCTTAGCTTCAATTAATTGTACTACTATTAATTTTGATTATGTTTTTTTAAATATTAATTTTGACATCATAAAATGTATTTTTTATATAAAAAAAATATCGTTGAAAAAGTTAAATTGTAGGAGAGAGTGGCTTAAAAAACTCTTATTCTTAGTTATTTTTATTATTCTTATTTTTTTATGGTTTAAAATTATAATATTTTTGTTAATATTTTTATCTCAAATATAAACAAAAGCTAATCAAATGCAATTCTCAAGCTCAATCATTAATTTACGCAGTAAGCTATAACATTAAGTTTCAAATTTTTAAGAGTCTAATTTATTTATATTACATAGAAAAATATTTTTAAAAAACACACAACGTCAAAAGCACAAATTTGAGGCTGCAATTCAAAAATAATATATGCTTTTATTTTTGGTAACTTTGATATATTTGTGTGTAACTATCTAATTCTCGTCATTTTTTATTAAAATAAATTATTTGATTCAATTAAAAAATATATCTTTAATTTTTAATAATAATTTAATAGAATTTACCGTACATCGTACGGGTGGACGTCTAATTTAAAAATATTTATATAAAAGTGAATTAATCACTATATTTTAATAAAAATTACGTTCAAATTCAAAATTTAGAAATTATATTTTTTTTAACATAATCAATTTTTATAGCAAAATAAATTCAACTATAAAGAAATTAAACGTGTCAAAATTATTATACATGTTATGAATAATAATAATAAATATATGTGAATGTTTATTTATCTAATTTTCTATATTCTTTAACTTTTATTAGTTAATTTTATTTTGAGTTAAAAGTTGTTTATTGGTCATGTACTATAAATATGGTTCATGTTGCAATGTTTAGTAAACTTGAAGAGAATAATATGATATCATTTTTCTTCTTTTCTTTGTCTCATTCATCTCTATATTGTTTTGGTTAATTTTATAACATGTTATGAACACGAGACTCTACGGTGCAAGTGATGATAGTGTTAGGTTCTGTGTTATTTTTCTACTCTCAATATATTTGAATCGATATAATATAATTCATGATTTTGTTACTATTTTTTCTTCATGTAAATATATTTATTTTTTTATATATTTTGTAGATAAATTATTTGTTAGAAACTCACCAGAGTCTATGATGAATTTCTACCACAATGACAATTTAATTATGAGACAAACAAAGAAAGAAGACAAGACAAATAATTTCTGCAGAGTTTCTCTCTGCTCACAAACTGTGAGAACTTTCTTATTCACTTTGCAACTGCAAAATACTGTGAATGACTTGATTGACTTGCTTGACTTGTTTACAAAAATAGGGGTTACTCCCTCTATTTATAACTGAGCTTACACCTTAAGCCCAAAGTCCAAAATATCTTTTTGTTACTAAATCAAATCTAATTTATTCTAGACTTAAATCAAATCTATTTAAATCTAAAACAAATCAAATATTTTCGACACATAGTTTCAACACACTGGATTATAATGTAACACATCACCTAATTCATTGTGTCTAAACTATCTATGTTCATCATGACTCTTAGCTTTCTGAATACTTCGACTTGGACTCCCTTCGTCATGATGTCTGCAATCTGATTCTCAGTTATGCAGTGTTCCAAATTCATCTTCCCATCTGCTACCTGCTCTCGAAGATAATGGAATCTCATTTCAATGTGCTTACTTCGACCATGTGCTATTGGGTTCTTCGCCAGATTGATAGCTGACATGTTGTCGATCTTCATGGTAATTGCTCCATGATTTTTCCCTGTTACCTCTTCGACCAAGTTCACCATCCAAGTTGCTTGACATGCACAAAGAGAAGCAGCTATGTATTCTGCTTCGCATAATGATAATGCCACTACTGGTTCCTTTCTTGAATTCCAAGCAACTGGTGCACCACCTAGCATAAACACATATCCTGCTGTTGACTTTCGATCTTCAGCATCACTACACCAACTCGAATTAGTGTATCCCACTAACTTGCATTCTTTTCCTTTATCAACTGCAGGAAACAAAATGCCATAATCGAAAGTTCCTTTGAGATACCTTAGTATCCTCTTCACTACTGCTAGATGTGATACCTTTGGCTTCTGCATGAATCTACTTACCATACTTACACTATATGCTAAGTCAGGCCTTGTATGGAAAATGTATCTCAATGATCCAATAAGTCTTCTGTATTGGGTTAGATCAACATCATCTTCATCTGCATCTTTCGACAGTTGCAGTCTTGGTTCTGCAAGTGTCGAAGTTAAGTTGCATTCTTCCATCTCAAACCTCTTGAGAATTCCTCCTGCATATCTTCTTTGATGCATCAT